TAATTTAATTTTGGTACAAGGACACAAGTATGGAGTGCCTAGTGAGAATTGAACTCACTACTATTGATTTGCAAGGTCAGTTTTTTTAACCATTACACCACAATGATGCACTCCAATAATCTCAGATATGCAAGTAATTATTTCTTAATGTACTTGCATATTTTTCTTTCAGATTTGGTCACAGATTATTCAACTTTCATGACAAGAATCTTTTGATGATTATATTTGATATAACATCATCAATTTTGCTTTTTAGTTGAAATATTCAAGATGATCAACTTGTGGCTTTAAAATCATGACATTTCTTTCAATTATATTTGGAAATTTTAAGCATTTTTGTATAGAATTTCTTTTTTTCTTTTCCTAAAAAAATTCAACTTATTTTTATGACAATTTTGTGTTGAATTTATTTTTAAAATTTACAACTGTTGGTGAAAAAGTTGAGCTACCACTTTATTACTCCCTCTACCACCGTACCAATAATCCACTGTGCACTCATGTGACTTGAATCTTATTTTTTGTTGTCTTTTTTTTGTCTTGCTGTATTTTGCTTCCCTCTTTACTGTGATCAAATGTTGTCCTGTCTACCTCCCCACCCTTTGTCATGTAAATTGATTTTTTCTTTCTTTTCTACTACACTATCAGATTTTAATATGCAAGTCAGTACTTTCACAATAAAATTGGTAAGAACCAACCGATGTTAAAATTTTCAGGACATGATGTTCTGAAACCTTTTTAGGAAGTTGGGCAATAGTCAGTTTTCTAAAATGTGAGGAAGTATTGTCTTAAATGAATATACTCTTTATCTTTAAAGTTTCTTCATTGTAAACTGTACCAATCAAAAAATTGTCTTGTCCAAGAACTTAGATAATTCTCTGCATTTATCTTGGATCATTAATTTTTTAAAGAGCCTATAATATTTTTGACTACAATTACAATATTAGCCTCTGTCTTCTAAATCATGTTGGTTGCCTAGTCATCAGATCTATCCAATGTAGCTCAACATTCATCCATGAAAATTATTGTTTATAAATTAGTTTTCATGTACTTCATTCAACTTATCTTTTTGTTTCTTCTTCACCCAATACAAGGCCCAAGAGCCACTATAGGTATGTTGTCACTGTATAATGAGATTGTTGAATTGATAGGAGGAAGTGAGTGCATTTTATGAGAATATGTAAGATAATTGTTGAATGTAGACTTCAACAGGTTAAGATTATAATGATTGGGAAAGAATCCTCTCAAGAGTCTGTTCCACAAAGTAATGCTTCTCCTATTCAGTGTTTAATAACAATGGTAGTTTTTGTTTTCATGTCTTTAGCCAAGATGGTAGTTTGATTGCTTTCATGCTTTAGCCAAACTATCACTTTGGCTAAAGACCTGAAAGCAACCAATCTTCTAAATATTCTGTCTCTTTTCTCTGTTTATATTCACAGCACCAGCTTCTTCAACTATTTTCTTGCTGATCAATCCATTTTTCTTGTTTATTATCTTTTCAATTTCCCAATTTTTTTTCTTTCAATTTCCAGTGTTGTCCCCATAACTTTACAATATCTTGTTTCTCTTTTATGGGGATCTGCAAGGGGTGTAATTGATTGTGACTTGGGATGAAAAATCAAGGCCGAGTTCAAATCCCAGTCAAGCTTGTTACATTCACTTATGCACAAATACCCTTTGGAAAGGTATGAATCAATCTCTTCTCCCCAAGCTATGAGTTAAATAGAACTTATATCTGGAAAGATCATTATCTACAAAAATTGTTAATGCAATATTTGCCCCCCCCAAAAAAAAATATAATTATTCTTAAAATCCAAAGTAGGTTTCAGCTTTATATAACCCATAAATGGTTAAGCTTTTAAAATAAAATATCAGTCATCTTACAAACCAATGGCACTCTTTACGTATCTGATATTAAAAAAAATAAATGACAATGCTATTATATAATTATTTACAATATGATGAACAACTCTGAAATTGCATAAAATCTCACACTGACAAATTTATTGTAAATATTTCTACTAAAAAAATTATAAACTTAAATTCACTTGATATATCTATCATGTGAATATGAGTATATTCTGTAAATTTTACCAAACCACAGTTGTTTAATGCCTCACTTATGAAAACATTGACTTGCATAATAAAAGCTGACATTGTGTTCTTTCTTCAATCTGTTTGTCTTAGTAATCTCTTTTCCTTCTTTCATAGAAAGCTTGCCTTCTCTACACTCTTGCTTTTTTGTTTTTTGTTACTGACAATTGTTTTTTGAGCTTTTTTTTATTATTTTAATGTACCTTTTTTTTAAAATTGATTTTTATCTTTAAAGAAATTTTAACTCTTTCATCACTGGATATACATTTTCTCATTATACTGGTACACATTAGTTATTGTTCTAATTGAGCCATAAAGCATTTTAAATTTATTCTAATTTATAAAATTATAAAGAATAATTTCTTAAGGTTTTCTGACTGTTATTTGTTTAGATTTATCATTTTGAAAATGTTAAACTTTCCAATTCTCTTATTTAATTTTGATTTTGTAGACAATATGGACAATTTTAGGAGGAGGCATAAGATGTTTTCTGAAAGCTGAAATATCCTGTTTGAGATTTTACATAAATACTGAAATTATTTTTTGAAATTCGCTTTTATGGCTCACTTTGAACTTGAGAAACTAAATAAGTTTTGTTTTGACATAAAATCACCTTCAGTAATTCTAAAATTATATGAAAGTCTTAATTTTTCTGGTTATATAAAAATGTTGATTTACAATTATAATTCACGAATGTTTAATCTGTAAGTTCATTTAGTTTTTTAAATTGTACTTGGTTTTGTTTGCTAATATTTTTTCTTCTTTATATTGCAAAAATATTGGCTATTCAATTAGTTTTCAAATTTTTTTTTTAAATTAAAACAGCTTAATTAGTTTCAGTTTTAATAAACTGATAAAAATTTAATTTTCTTATGAAGCTCAATTGTAAAACTAAATAGTCAAGTAGATTTGACCAAATTTTGTATATCTAAGCATCTTGGTAGAATAGGTAACAGACTGTTTATAGCAATAACTACTCTGGCTTTCATTTTCTATATTAAGTATCCACACCTCATTAGTTTCAACTCTTGAATGTCTCCTCTTCCCCCCCCTCTCCCAGTTAAGTATGAAGATTTCTTTTTGACTGACTTGTTTTGTCCCACACCGAGATTATTGGAGTCATTAGGTTTGTTAGAGAATTTGAAAAAAATTATGAAAATTCATTTTTTATAAACAAAAATAACAATGATTCTATTAGGATGACATATTATTTACTAAACTTCAATTAATTTTTTTGTAAGGCTATAAGGATGGGGTCTCCATTTAGGCTTTAACTCACTATTCAGAAATTTGTTATGATGCATTTCCATTGAAATGCAGACATTGATAGATTGAGTACTTCTTTGTATAGCTTTCACCCAGTTACACATTTCTTCCTTCATTTGATGTACTTATGGAGACTATTCTTCTTGGACTCTTCTGGTTAGAACTGTAAGCAGGAAGGACACCACTTCATTTATTAATGTATTATTATCCTGGAAGTGCTTGTATTTCAAAAAGAACTTCTTGGAAGACAAGAGGGTGGAAATTAGATAGTGCCAGGTCAGAAGAACAAAAAAGAATTTCTTAGCCACATTTTTACTTCCATTTGTGAAACATAGATGTCTTCTGATACATTGTCTTGCAATATGTGGACACCTTTGCTAAGCAAAGCACATCTGTATTTTGATAGCTACCAATAATTTCAACCGCTAACATATGTTACTCTTACTGTACTGCCTTTGATCCTAGAAAACTGTCAGTATCAACTTGTCAGCAGAGAATTGGACACTTGCCTTTTCGGATACTGTGCTTGTATTGTCTGGGACTATGCTTAGGTCTTTGCATAAAAGTGATAAACCCACATTTCATCTTGGGTAATTAGTTGGAGGGGAGCGGAGAAAAGTTTTTAACTTTTCTGCCACATAGCTAAATGTTCATGGAAACGAGTAAATCTGGTTTCCTTTTGAGAAGATAATCCAAAAAATCATAACACTGACATTGTCTGCATTTGCATGTGTCCATTCACTATTATTTCCCGATATGCCACACTAATCTTGACACTGTTCACTAGTTCTTGAATGCTTATGTGGTGATATCCTTAAGATGACAGTCTCCACTTATTGGATGGTGTCACCATCAATGGCCACTTAAGGAGCTATTTTTACTGAAATCTGACTATATTTCAGATGCCAATATCAGTACTTAATAACACTACAGGATGAAGCATATGTCGTCATCTCTTTCAAAATTGTTTGTGATGCATTGCGTTTTATAAAGAGGAACTTGATTACAGATCTATACTCTACTGGTTCCATGGTCTTTAATGCACATTCACATGTGAAATGTAGAAATATTTATTAGTACAGGTCTGCAAATTGAATTGTGCTGATACATGTTTCTATATCTGTAAATTGGGGTAGGACAAATGACTCTCCTTTATAATAATCTGAAAGACCAGCTTGCTAACCATTATCGTATGGTGATGCATTCAGAGGCATAATCTGGAAGTTCATCTACTAATTAAACATTGATTCTTCTCTACAATTTTATTGTAATGTTCATTGAAGTCACTAAAAGCCACTATTAAACAATAAGGCTTTCTGCTTGTTTATTGAATATCTCTAGCATTAATTCCAAATATTGTGCTTGCTTATTAGTGCTTTTTCTTTTTAGCTTACATTTTATATAAGTTAAAAATTTTGAAACTGTTAGTGTTTCATAGTCTGTTCCTCCTTCAGTTAATTTTGATTTCTCAATTGGTGCCCATTATTTTTGCCAAGAGCAAACTTCCAAGTTAATTCTTAATTAAAATTTTTTTAAATCCATTTTTATATCAGAACATCATCCCTTTATAGTGTTTTAGGAAATGAAAAAGTTTTTGTTTTACTAAAGCAATTTTATTTGTTTATTTTTGAAACTTGAAACAGGGATCAAAGGAATTCCCAGTGGAACAAGAGGGACCCAGATTGGTATGTAGATAGATGTTGGTGCCTTAATCAGATGTTTTACATTGTTGTTTTGTTTTGTCAGTTACTTCCCCATCCTTATCTACATTTTTGTAGTTATTTGAAGGTTACATACACAGGCATGTTTTAGCAACTCTGTCACAGTCCACTGGGAAGAGTGTTTACTGTAGTTTTTTTTTTTTTTAACAAGAGAAAAGCTCTCATCAGTGAACACTGCATTGCATTGATTAAATATAAATCTGGCTCAACTTGAGTTTTATTCATCCTCAGCTGTATTTAATACATTTATAAAAGCTCTATAATTTTTTTTATATACACAACCAGTGGTGAAAGAGTTTTGAAATGTGAAGAGATGTTGACGATAGTAATCTATTTTCTTTCCTTTTTCTCAAATTCAACCAATCACTTTTTTAAAGTGTTAGTTTCGACTTTCTAAACCTTATCATAAAATGGAAGAAGCTATAATTTTGATTTACAGAATTTCAACTTTTTCTGCAAAACTTTACTAACTTTTGTTTGCTTTATTATAGTAGTATTCTGTTTTGTATCAAATTGTCCACTTTCAAACAAAGCTCTTTTGTCAAAGTCCTATTTTTATGTCCTTTAAAATTTCAAAGATGATATAAATCATTGTATCTATACTCATAAAACCTGACAAAATATTTTCATTACTTGAAAAAGAAATAATGCTTCAATGAACTAAAACAGCATGTGTTTTATTTGCTAAAGGAATGTTTGTACTTATGAAACTTCTAAAGAAATTCACATTTCTCAGTGTGGATTGCATCTTCCACTAATTTTCTTTATGATAAATATATGTTGAATTTTCATTAGAAGTTATCTATGAATGCTTACTGCTATAGATTAACTTCTGTTAAATTTTTAAAATGTTTTAAATATTGTCTTTTGAGTATTCATTTTTAATAAGCAATAACGTTTAATCAAAGCAGGATATTACTTGAATTTAAAAGTAATTTTTTTCTGCAAAGGTCTATCAGTAATTCTCATGTGACAGATTTATAAATTTAATTACTTGTCATAATTTTTGAATTGAAGAATTTCAAAGTGTTATGTGAAGAGTTTGAATATTTACTATGTATATTTATCCTTTGTGTTTGGAATTGTTTGTTGCTTTGGTTTTGTTCAGATAACATGGTAAAGCTCCCACAATCTCAAATATTATACATGTCAAGAATGTAACAAATTTACTCTTATGTTCATGCAGTTACAAAGATGAATCAAGAGGTTTGTAGCCTGACAGTTATTAACTGAAATTTATCTGAAATTTGTGATTAATATTCACAACTGAATTAAGTGCATTGACAAAGGAGATTATGTTGAAAAATTATTTTTTTTTGTATAAAATAATTTTTTAATTGGGCTGCAATATTATTGATGTATATAAAAACACATCCCTTTCTATTTTTCTAAGTTAGCAAGATAAGACTCCAGTTTTTTTATTCTACCACCTTGAACATTTTTATTTTAATTTTGTATTTGTTAGTCTCCTTACCTAAGTCTGCATGAAAACAAGGCAAATGGTTTTATTACCTATCAAATTTAAACAGCTTTTCAATCTTATTTTAGTTATAACATTTGTTAATTGTTCTTTGATAATGAAACCGCTCATTTTTCATTTTATTTAAGAATAAGTTTTTTTTTGTTTTTTTTTTTAATTTTGCCATTGTTTTTATTTTTACAATCAAAAATATTTTGTCTTGCACCAAATGTAATACATATCTAAACTGGCTTATCTGTTTATACAATAAATTTGCAGTTCATGAAGTAAGGAAACCATAAATTATTATTGGCTTAACTGTATTTCATTTACTTATTTCTTGTGTACTTATTAAGGTTTTTGAAATTTTGTATTTGACTTTTCTTTTTCTCATTTTTAGAAGGACTTTTTTGCTTTCCCATCATGTTTTACTTTATATTTATTCTTAGACATGAAAATATGCCATGTTTACTGTTACTGGATTTGAAGCTGTCATCCATCTACTCAATGTCAGTTTGTGCAAGTGCCTATACTGTAATATTTAAAATGCAATATATTTTTTATTTGTATATTTTTAATATGGTTTTTATTAACAAAAAAGCATTGCACAACATCCTAACATGAAGGATATATGTATTGTCAAAATAATGAACTCTTTACAGCAGTTTAATGAGGTTTGTGTTTTTTTACCAAAAGAAGGAAAGTATGGAAGTAATTTTGTGCATTTAAAAAAAAAAAAAAATTAAGTCATCTATTATTCACTACTTGTTTTTTGTTTAGTCTCTTTTGTGATTGTCTTTTTCCAATTTTTTTTCTTTGCTAATCAGATTGTTGCAAAATTGATTTTTTTTTTTTTTTCTTAAGATATGCTTCCCCCTCTTCCCTTGCTTTTTATTTTAGCAGATCAAATGCTTTGGTGTTTAGTTAATGTGTTGAAATGGGAGAGCAGTTTGCACATTGTGGCTATAGATCCACCCTCACAAATAGTTGCTGCAGCAGACCAATATTTCTTAACAGAACAATAAACAAATCTTCCACATACATTCTCATTTAATTAAACTTTGATTGCAATCTGGTTTAAAACTAACTTTAGCTGAAAGTTAATTAGAAATATTACACTGTTAATGCAAGCCAGATAATTATCTATTCTAGAGATTATCTAGCCTCAACATTAATTGAAATGAAAATTAATGTAAATAAAATTTGAATTTCTGACCATTTATTTTGGGGTGTTTGAACTTTCTAGATTAAAAGTTTTTTTTCGCTAAAGAATTTACATGACATGTTGAATATCTTCACATGTAAAGCATTCAGATGTTCAGTTTTAGTATGTGACATAATCTGTATACTCAGTTTCCAGATTTTAGACCAGTCATGGGCAAACTGCGCCCTGATAGGCTTTCTGAATGGCTTGCCTGATTTCAAGTTTCTTAAAATGTTTGTTTCTTTTCATTCTCACTTGTTCATTCACACAGTTCTCATACATAACCACGTACATAAACAATGATTGAATACAATGTTTCTTGAATTTTATCAAATTTTGTTGAAGATAACGTTGTCAGCATTTTAAACCATTAGCAATTTTTACTAAAGAAGTTCATACGTGTAAATATCCTTTTGTGTCAGAAACAGAATGATAATTATTCTTTTACAAATATTTTTGTCTACTCAGATGGATAAATTAGAAACAAACCACATGCAGTAATGTGTGTTAATCATGCTGTCATCAGTGAAAATATATCAATACTTCAATTTTTTTAATTGTACAAGAAATATTTTCACAAAAGAAAAAACCATCAACTTTTCCCCATTTCTAAGTCAGATGCTTTTGTTGGGGAAATGGCTGAGACATCTTTTAATAAAAAAAAAATTATTTTAGAAGTGCGGCTTGCCGTATGATGTACTGTACCTCATGTGGCCCACTGTTTGAAAAAGGTTGCCCATGTCTATCTTAGACTGACGAATATTTTTTAGCACCCGCAACCCCATTTACTCTCTTTGCTTAACTATAAAAAGCTCTGATTGTGTCACTTTTGCTTGCAGCTTCTACATTCTGCCTGGCAGGTTTATATTGGCATTTTTATTCATCACTTTCTATTTCTTAGTTAATCTATACAGCTAATTGTGTATGTATGTATAATTTCTAAAGAAAGGATTTATTTTTACTCCAAAATTTCTATTACTTCAAATTTAGAGTAGATGCTTTGTATTTGAAATCGTTGCCCCATTTCTATTTATTAAATGGTGTGTATTACGTCTATCAGCCTGTGCATTTGAGAAATCTTAGAAAAGAAAATGTGTTCTGTAACTGAGCAAACTTTCATCCCTCTGGATCAGACATTGGTTTCCCCTACAAAGGTGGATGCAGATTCAATCCCTACTAGAAACACATTTTCTTTACATATCTCAAATGCACAGGTTAATATACACACTGTTTAATAAATAAAAATGGGGTATCTATTTCGAATACAAATTATCCATTTTAATAACATAAATTCTAAAAAATGTTAAGCTGAGTTTGGGATAAAAACTTTTCAAATGTTGCCCCTTGTTCTAAAACAATTTATAATCTGTTCTATAAAATTAATTTTTATTTTTTTTCATTCATATTACAGTTTGCATATCTCAAGCAGGTAAAAAAAACCCTCTGTAATTTGTATGTAAAGTCTTTTAGGGTGTCTAGTTTTTTGTTGTTGTTGTTTTTCTTTTTTTTTGTTTACTCTACATTTTAAAGTCTTAACTTTTCATGGATCAAATTATTGGGTTTAAGGCTGACTTTTATTATAACTCCTGTAAAGATATATATTTATCAATTTTTGTATATTATGCTCATTATCTTATTTTTAATCACTCAATAATCTGCTCTGCCTCTTTACGGATTTATATATCTACCTATTTTGATACTGATGCTCATATTTTTAATTTGGAAGAATTTTTTTTTCCTTTTCTCTTGGCTGAGTATTATTTAAACGATAAAAAAGAATTTAATGCATGTTATTTATATCTTTTTTTTTCTTTGCTCTCTTATTTTAAAACTTTTTGGCTTATTTTCTTATCACCATGGCTAAATATTCAAAATATCACATTCTGTCTAAAGGTTCTTTATTATATCCTATAATTTTAAAAATTGTTGTTCCTTGCTCTCCTTTGTGCTTGTAAAACTCTTCAAAAGCTGTTGGTCAAGTCTATTTGCAAAATATTCTTGCCAATTCTTCATCTTGCAAATGCAAAAGCCTCTATTGTAAATATCTTATTGTTCTTTCCTTAAAGTTAGAAATTTGCTCTTTTCTGACCTATTTCTTCCACATAATTTTCAATCATTTATCTTTCAATAATATTATGTTTTTGCTGTTTAATCAAAACGATTTGCCTTGATTTTCATATATGATCACACATAGAAATGATTTTGGGGTGATTACGTTTGCTAATTTACTGATAAGCAAAATATAATTTACAAGATAATTTTTGAAAATGGCTACTATTGAGAGAGAAATGTTGCATAACTTAATATTTTAGAGGAATATAAGATATTTAGGTATCGAGTTTAAGTAACTACTCTTAAAACTGTCAACACTTTGGTATAATCATAATTAATCAAAATATGGTACATCATTATTTAAACTGGTAGAAGATATACTAATAATGTCAAACTCATTACTTGAAGAATTTGTTCAAAATGTTGAACCTAAAATAACATTTTCAGTTTTATTTTAAAGTTATACATTTGTTTTATTCCTGTCCTATTTTAGAGCTTTCATTTAAAATTGCACTTTAAATAATATCTTAAACTAAAGTTAATATTTTGGATTTTTGTTATTGAAATAAATACAATATATCAGTTTATATTTTATGGCAATAAATTGAACTGTTAACTAATGTTTTAATATCTTTAGTATAAAAGTTAATATTTACTTCACTTGGAAATTCTGGGTAATGCCTTTTTAGATTTTATTTAGGAAGTTGTCTTGTTTTTTGTTTTTGTTTTTTTTTATCCTATGGTAGTGTTCTCTAGTGTTCTTTTCAAATTTTAGGACAATTTGTATCTGACATTAATACAAGATGTGGCAGAAATATTCCCCACATAATGGTAAGACATTAGTGGCAATTCACACTATTTGCATCATTCAACTTGTTGTCCTCATCTTTATTGCTATAGTGGATAAAAGCGTTGCTTGAAGTGATCCAAAAGTGACTTGACACAGAGAGTTGTGAGTTCATTACCTGGCCACAGCATAGGGGACAAAGACTTGGGGAAGACTGAAGGGAGTTAACTGAAATTGAGATATCCAAAAAAGACATAGCACATGTAATTAGAACAATCTACCCCCATGGACTAAATAAAGGGTTCAATTCAAAATTCTAATGTATATCAGCTGAAGAAGGCCGGAGCATACAATAGCCAAAACATTGTGATTATAGCAATAAAGATGAGAACAACAATCCAGATTATGCAAATAGTGTAAATAGTTACAATACCTCATCTCAAAAATATAGACAGATATTAGTGGCAATGGTGTCTTCATCTAGTTCATGTCTTACCATTATGTGGGAGGTATTTCTGTTGCACCTTGTTTTTTAAAGGCTACCATAATATGAAAGGTAACATTTTTCTAACACTTTTCAGCTTTTTGACACTAGAAAACTGGTAGTAAATCATCCAAAACTAAAGCTGAAATTTTAAGTAAATAGATTTTTGCAAAAGTTACACATTTATTGCTGTTCTGTAGATTTTGTTAACATGAATATTGTGGGGAATGTTTAAAAACCATGTATATTCTGCTTACAGCATAAATATAAATTTTGGTCTCTATACCTATTTGAATATTATGTATATATGTATAAATGATTTATAACCTGCTGTTATTGGGAATGGCTTTCATAATTTATTATTGTTTGTGTTTCCTTTTCAGAAAAATTTTGATTGAAACTTTTTAAAAAGTTAAAAATTGACTGGTCACTTGCTGTTGTTTCTCAATTCACTTGATATTTGCCTTTCTTCTTAGTGATGATTATGAGAATAGATATGAAGATAAGGAAAAATCTCCTCGTGATCGCAAAGACTATGAATTTAAAGATGAAGATGAAGAATACACTTCAGTGGAACGCACTCAAACAACTCACACAGAAAAAATAACAACCAATATTCGTACAACCCGTAGTGGCAAAAAATTAGACTTGGGTGCTGCAGCCATGTATGGAAAGGAAGCTAACCAGGTAAAACACTCCCTGTTATTTTACTGTTGTTCAATTGTAGAGCTAAGAAGATTATAAGCCACTCATGCTGAAAAAATTGAAATTTCACACACTTACATAATATTCTATCAAATTTGTATCCTATTAGCATTTTTGAACTTTCAACATTTTCAATGCAATTCTTTGTGACTTACTTTACTAACATTTCTATTTTTTTTATGCAAGTGAATATTTGATTTATACTCACTTAATAGATTTATGTAAGATTATAGATGGCCTCTTTTCATAAAGATAGAATAACTCAAGAAGGCTGTAGAATGTACCAACTGAAGTGTTGTTGGAACAACAAAAATCATGAAATGTTCAGTTGTTTCAAATCAGTAGTTTTATTTTTTTATTTAACCCCCCCCTACACACACACACGTGCATGTGCGCAGACCCCCTCTATTGTAGAGCTTAAAAGTAAATAAAGAATATTGAGGGATGAGCTCTTTGGTATGCACATATGCCTACACTTGTAGCTTTTGTGCATATTTTTGTCTGTTTGGGACATGATTCATTTGACAATTATCCTGTCAAAACCTGTTTAACAACATACAACACTTGTTTTTGGTTTCATTTTAAGATATGAATTCAGGACTTTTTCTTCTCTAAAAGTTTGAATATTCAATCAACTAATTTTGTTTATTGACTTTGTCATAATTTGAACTTTTGCAAGTCTAATCTAGAAGAAAAATTTTATATGAAATTAATTTTTTTTTCAAATGATAGGAATTGTTTTTATTTTATAGCATTGGTCAACAATTAGTTTTAAAAGCTCTTCATTTTTAGGTATTGACTGCAATCCTAGTTTTATTACTTTGGATAGATGCAAATGGAACAGTTTTAATTAAGAAAAATAAATTAAGCTATATAAATATTTTACAAGGAAAAATATGCTATTCTTTTATTTGGCTAACATTTCTTTTTTAATTGCAACAATTTCCTTTAGCATCTGGCTATGATTCTATGATTTAAGCATTTATAATTAACTATAAAATTAAAAAAAATATTAATAGAATGCAGAAAACATTAAATTCTGTACAGAACAAAGGTTTGTTTGATTTTACAATCAGGTATGATTGAAAAGTCTGTGATATTCTACAATGCAGATACTAAAGAAAAAATGAAAATCAAGTGTATTTAAAAATATTACATTTCAATTTTAGCTAAAATTACAAAAAAGAACTTCTGCATATGAAGATATATTTGAACTTTGAACTTAACCCTCCCTTCTGTCTGAAGAAAACATTTGTTTGCTGCCTTCAGCACTGAGCTCTCGTCATCAGCAGTGACCCAATAGTACTATTAAGGAATGTTAGTATCCCCCTCCAAAGCAATGTCTATTCATCTTGGATTGTCTTCTAGGACATGGAACAGGAGGAGAGCACTATTCCAATTAAGAGTATAGCTGCAGCAAACTGTTCTTATGTAAGAGTGATGGTGGAATGAATCCCAAAGATTGGTCATCATTACATCAGGGTTGGGTTCAATTGTAAAACTAGATTTGGTCCCTTTCAAGAGAAAAGATTTTATAAAAACTGCATTTATGATATACTTTGCATATCTGATAAGGTATATGGGGTGAGATCAGCTGTCCTCTTAGATAAGGAACACAAAATTAGAACCAAAGTCTAGATGAGAAAAAAATTGGTATGGTAGTTCATATATGACAAGAGAAGAGTATGCATAACCCTCTCTCATTCTTTTTTTTTTTATTTTTTATTTTTTTCTCTCTTCTCTCTTTGGTTTAAGGTTTAGGTTATTGATAGAGAACATGGTTTGGGAGTGTAGAAGCTGAAAGATGCATATATTGGCCTTTCAGCTCACTGCATAACTCAAGTTAACATATTTTTCCATATATTGATTAACAAAATTTGTGTTTGGGAAACTAACCAACTCCTGAGTGCTTAGTGTAACTGATACTGTGGAAATAGTAGTCCTGCATGTGTATTAATGAAAAATTTATATAATTGGTTCTTTCTGGTATGGAAGTGAATTGCAGACTGAAGAGTGAATTGGCTGAAAAAAATTGTTAACACCAACTATATATATATATATATATATATATATAAGAGATTTGATTAGCTAAATGTGTTAATGATGCTTCAGGGTTATAGACAATAGAGTAGTAATGAGTTACAGCAGTCAAAATCCTCTGCTATTTACAATGATTGATCAGTCTATTCACTGCAAGAAACAAAACATTCATTTTTAAGGCAAAAAGCAAACAAGATGACTTAGCATGTTTGACAATACAAGTTTTGTCCTATTCATTTTGAAATGGGAAGTTTTTTTTTTTTAATTTTGTTGTTAGCTCACTTGGTGAGAGGCTGTAATGATGAGATTAGCCTTTTTCATGCAGGAAACATTCAGCATGCATTGACCAAACAGTTATCATTACTGCCAGTTAAAATTTATTCCATTTTTTTTCTTAAGCAGTTTTCAGGAAATTAAACTTCTCAAGTTCACTTACTGTTATTGCTCTTTTTAGTATTGATGGAAATTTCCTTTCAAACTCTTTGTTTAAGGCAGTTTGGAAAGTCTTGATTATATCATTTTCCCTCCTGTGCTACTCATTTTTTATTGTTGCTGTTGGAAGTGTATTCAAGTGATGTGGTAATTGTTTGGTAATGCTGTTTGTGATTTTGTGATGCACTTTATAAAATCTGATGAAGAATTATCTTCTTTAAAACATTAAGGATTCATTCACTTGAAGCTATTTTAAATCATTGATTTCCTTTTGCTTTATCTAAGTAGTAACAAGTAATGGTTTTTATTTAAATTATCTTATTAAAATATATTTCATTATCATATATAAATTAGCACTGTCATCTGTGGGGAGGGGTAAATATCAGGATGTCTAATATGAAATCACTAATTTAAACAGAAATTGAAGAAAATTTTTCATACAAAATATTCTTATTCAGTTTCTGTAGATTCATTTCACCAAGGCAAGACATTTTTAATATCCTTCCTAATGAAACTTTCAAAATTTCAATGATTTATCAGCTTTGTCTCCTACTTCCCCCTGATTGCACAAGTTCTTGCTTGTAAAGAAGTGGTGTTGATGCTTGAAAAACAAATAAAAATCATAATTGTAGATGTGGTCTGTTGAATAGACGGTGCAATAAAGTTTTCATTTTTAGTTGATTCAACTTTACTAACATAATTTTTGCAACTTGGTAGCAAAAATAATCATTTTTGAGTTTTGAATTTACTATCTCAAATATGTTGGCATTAATTGGTTGAACCCTTTAAAGGAAAATACAATGTATTAAACAATTTTTATTCTATTAGATACTTGCCATAACATCTGGAGATGAAAGTACAGTTTCAGTGGACATTTTGCTTTTCCATTGTGTAACCTTTTCCAGTTACACAAAATCAATTTTTCATCACAAATAGAAAATAAAAAATGGAATTTTTTATACTTCTAAGTATTGTTAATACAGAATTTTATATATTTATTCAGATCATCATTCAATTCATATTGAACCTTTTAGCCAGCTTGATTTTGAAGAGGTTCTGATCAATACAATGAAGTTTGCAGGTTCTCTGAAGTTTTGTATCAGTTTCAATCAGTCTTAAAGTTTTTATTGATCAATTGATGATTTTAACTGGCTTAACTCCAAACGTTTTAAACTGAAATCTCTACTTTCAATTTTTTAAAACCAAACTTTTACTGCTAACACTATTGTTTCCAAATATGGTATTTATATTCTTTGTAACTTCATCTCAGTTACAGCCAAGTTTGTACAAGTATGGAAGAATGAAATTCTGAATTAAAAATGTTTGCCTAAAATCTGTAGAGATTCTTGTCTTTTGTTATTCAGTTATACATTTTCTTTTATGATACCACTTTGTCTCAACAGTAATTGTTCCTTCATCCATTTGCTCAGACTTTTCAGGTCTACTCTTACACTGATGAGCATTGTGTTAAATTTTTCAAACCTTTTTCTTTATATTTCCCAAAATTTTAGTGGTCTCTGATTAACAACATATCTTTTTAATTCTTATTTACTTTATCACGGGCTTTGTCCATGGTATTCTCAACATTTGCCAGTAGAACCACAAATCTTCATTCTTGATGAAAATGTCAAAATTTCACTTCCTTTACAATATCATTTTTCTTCATTTATAATACACCCTAATGCACATTTGATAAAATGTCCAATTTTACAAGGGAGATAACTGTTTTCTCTTACATCAGGTTGCTTAACTCAACATTGATATCTATTATGTACAATATAATTTATTAAACTCTTGCTTTATGTTTACATTGCAAATATTTTTCCCCTCTGTATTTACAACAGCAAAGTTCCAATGCCACTAACTCTACTGATGTTGCTGGGGGCAGCAGTCTGATTGACACAAGTTTCCCTAACCCTGGAGATTTATTTGCAGACTTTAGTGACTTTAAATCATCTTCAAGTACAACCAATGGCTTGTTTGCTGAACCTCTTTCTGGTAAGCTACTTTTCATCATAATTTTTATTTTTTTATTTTATTTATCATGAAAAAACTTTTTAATGAAAATAACAAGAACTTCCGAATAAAATATGTATTATTTATGATCTTAATATTTCTAATTTAATATTTATCTGCATATTGTATTGCAAGGTCATCAGAAATAGATTCAAAGTTAGATAAGTGGTTTTGGAACTCGTTTTTGTAGCAGAACAATAAAGAGGACTATATGTGCTTTCCTAAATGGTTCATTTATTGTCCAGTTTAAAATTCTAACAAATAACTTTTCTAAAAGAAAATCTAAAGGACTATAGGTGATCATTTGTTATTCCCTTTCTTCACCTCTTGTTTTTTGTTTTTTTATAATCTCTGCAAAATTAACCACTTCCTTGCTTCTGAATTTGTATTTATAGAAATTCTATCAAAATAAATGTATATATTATAACCCATCTTTACGGCACTCTGTTCTTTTATTTTACTTTTCCCATTTGTTCTGTGCCCTCTGTCTCATCAGTTTGTTCATTGTAAATAAGTCATTAGTCCAAATAATTTCAAAGTCACAAGTCAAACACAGTTACTGGATTTTACTTTACATGGCACTTTTTCTCACTAATCGCCAGAAATTGTTTGCTTTTATAGTTTTTTTTTTTTTACAGTGTATGCATAACCCAGATAATACGGTAATTCACTCTGCCTATAGGAACCCAGATAACACTGATGGTAGCCACAAAGAAGGTGGTAAATCATCAATTGGGTTTTGTGTCCCAGCAACAACCAATATAAAGTATTTATTTTGTTTCTGGCTGCAATGATTGGTCCTCTTGTGGCTGTTATTGCTGCTACACAGTGTGTTGAGGAGGCAGAAATGCGTAATCTGCAAGACAAGCTTGTTGCTACTTTTATGGAGGTTACTTCCTTCTCTGCTACAACTAATGTAAATCCAAGCATCAAAAGAGAACATTGAGTAAGGGTAAATAAATGTATAATTTATTTACATATATACAAAGACTGATAACTTCTATCTGTTACTGTTTAGAAATCGGGATTTGATGGTTGTCATCGTTGGTGGTTGCACAAAAAACATATTTACACAGTCTGCTTTGGGTCATCGAGCAGTCAACATAGAGTTTGTGCAGAAAATGTAAGAGACATGACAAATGTTGTAATCATAATATTAAATAATTGAGATGCTACAGGTGATATTACTTTTAAATTAGTTTTCAGGATATCTAAAATAAAAATTAACATCAGGCAAGGTACTTTCTGCCAATGCATCAGTTAAAATTTCTAATTGAACCCTTTCTTTTTAGGATTAAAAATCTGCTTCAAAATTATTTGACTGGCTTTTATTCTATTTTTATCAGCATCTACAAATGCCTCGGCTGGAGACTTTGGAGAGTTTGCTGCATTCCAAGGAGCACCAGGGGCTGGTGGAACATCACCTTCGTGAGTATAATAAAAAAAGAAAATAATATTCTTCTTGCCTATTTATAATTCAATTGACAGTCAATTCTTCCATGATGTATTATAATACGAGAGTTGCAACCATCTGGGTAGAAAATTTGTTTTTTTATTAATTGAAATATTCCTTTTATTTTTTTTCCATTCCTAATTTAGCATCATTTGGTGCATATATTGAGGAATAAAGTCTTCTTTTTTTTTTTTAATTGGAACCACCCTAAACAAGGCAGTAATGCCACTAAAACAAAGGGGGTTAAAGGGTGTGAAAGAAGCATTAATGTTTAGCAGAAATAAAAGATAATAATCAGGTGGACAGTAGATAGCAATTAACATTGCATTTAAATTTTTGCAAATTAAAGTTGGCTCAAAAGCATGGAGCCGAAAGGGAGTTCCACAAGTGAGTAGTGCAAGAGAAGAAACCGTTAGCATAGAATTTATGGCTACATCAAGCCAGCTCAACTGTAAATTGATGAGATCCCAACACCAGTTTAGTACTGTGCTTGAATTCATAAAGTCTAGGTACCATAGTGTAGAGCTCATTTGAACAATTACCATGAAAGTATTTATAGAAAAGACATGTAGAGGCAACCTTACAGCACTGGGAAAGTGACTGGAGCCGAGACATCAGATCAGGACAAATAATATTGCATATTCTTTGGATCTTATCAAGGAGCTCAAGGTAAATAGAAGGGGCACTAGACCACATGAGGCAGCAATATTCTAAGAATGGGTGAATGGTAGACTTATAGATATGCAAGAGAGATTCTGGAGAGAAAAATTGTCTTACCTGACATAGTGAACCAACTTTCTTAGTGGCTGACCTAGCAATGGATTCAGTATAGTCTTTCCACTTCATATCAACAGAGAACATTATCCCAAGAAGGCACACCAAGTCACTTTCCAGGAGGATAGCATCAGATATGCTGATGGAAGGCAGCAAGATGTCTCTCAGATGATTAATAAAGAGAAGTTTAGTTTTGGATATGTTAAAATTAATGAGTTATCTTTTGCCCCATTTATCTACTGACTTGAATTCATTTTGGACATCAGTTGCCATTTTGACCATGTCAGACTGATAAGCAGGAAAAAGAAAGTGTCCAGCAATACTGTAACTTTTCAACTTGTGAAGAAGACCTGAATGTCAAATCCTGTCAAAATATCCAATGCAACAGTCTGGGCTTCACCATTTTTTATCTAACACATGATAAATTCTTACCACAAATATTGTCAATACATCAGCAGTAGACCTGATGAAACGAAAGCCATATTGTTACCCACTTATTATCCAGTACTTTAATTATTGTTATGCAGCCTTTTTTTCTTTTTTTTTTTTAATTGCCAGCAAAAAAGTCAGCAAGGTGATGATGGCTATATTCCAAATCATTGATTGTATGCTACTAATTAGGAAAAGGCAATCAAATCTCACTAATATCTGTATTCTTCTATAAGCAGTTCTCACTTGACAAGTGTAATGAAAAATATGGTAAAGAATTTTTTTAAAATCAACCTAGATTTTGACTATACAAAAACGTCACTCAATTCTAACAGTCAATAAAATTTTAGTGGAAACAATTTTGATACTTTAAAAAACCCAAATACTACATTTCAGATGTTTTGAATAGAGATCTTTTTGTACCAACTTATCTATTCCTATTCTCTCCTCTCTCTTTTTGATTGTGTAATGATTGGTGAATATGTTGCATGACAACATATTCACCAATTATTTCACAATCAAAAAGAGATGCCAACCAAGGAAGCAACTTGTTGCAAAGTCTCCACTTGTCATCACCATATTTAATCAGTGTTACAAAATAAAAGAATGTAAGTTACTGGTTGAAAAAAGAAAAAAAAAATTTTTTTTTTTTGCAGGTGGGGATGAGAGAAAATCAAACAATTATCAAGTTCAAAAATATATGTGGTAATCTCTCTCCAACATTCTATCAGTAATATTTCCTCTTATCTCTTTTTGCAGCAGACAAATTTATCTTACAACTTTTCCTTAACAACTGAGAATATTTTATCATTTCTTTTATAAATTAAAGCAAAAATTTCGTATTATTTCAGATCACAAGGTAACTTTGCTGACTTCTCCAAAATGAATTCTACCACTACTCCAACTAATTCAAGTGCAGCTGCACCGGCACCTGCACCCCCTGCTGATTTGTTTGATGTCTTCTCAGCTGCTGGTTCCAGTACTGTAGGAGCTATTCCTCCACTCCAACCTTCATCAACTACTTCCACTCCACTGAGCCCTGCTGGACCTATGGCTTCTCAACTCACTGGATCAGCCATTAGCATGCAAGCTGTGAGTATAGACAAACTATTAATATATCCAGCAGGTGTCACTGCTAACTTAAAAGATATGCAATATGAGCATCATGCAAAAAGTTTCCAGAATTTTTGTCATTTTCTCTGGCTTTCTATAATTTACACCACCTTCATTATAAAATAATAATTTGCTTTTGATGAAATAAATTAAACTTTTATTGTTTTTAATCTCTTGATTTTATTGAAATTATAGACCAGACAAGGAATATTAACCAGAATAAGTGATTGATTGAAAGAATAACAATTTAGGTTCTAACAACTCATAAGAAATTCAAACAAGTCACTCATTTTGTAATAACTGCTAATTCATAATAAGAAATCTTCTTTCTGCTTCTCACCAAACATTTCCCTCCAGCAAATTCCACTTAGGTTGATATATCAAAGTCTGATCTGGATCAAGCTATTAGACACCATCACCACCACCTTCCTCCCCTCCCCCAATTCTAGTGGTATTTGGTCGCAAAATGATTTTCCCCATTTTGTGCAAGACAAAAAAAACATGTTTTTTAAAAATTCTGATCAAGGTTTATATGGCATCTATTTTCCCAGCCTCTGAATTTTTTCCTTTAGTTTGTAACTGTTGTAATTGATTGTACAAACCATATGGAAATCACTAAACATAAAACATTAGTTACAATTCTCAAACATAATGCAAAAGATGGTGCTGAAGAATCTATATTTTTGAAGAGAAAAAAAATGATAACTTTTGGATTTTAAAATAGCCATTTTATATTACATAATTTTGATTTGCTTTTCCTGAATTATAAGTTGGCCTTTTAAAACTTTTTGAAAATTTTGCATGATGCAGCAATCTAGCCATTTCAACTGTAAAAAAAAAAAGGTGTACTTCATGTAAATTTTTGTTTTTGATGTGCTTGTTAGTGATTTAATTAAACTTAGTAACTGATGCTTTATAAACTTTTTTATGATTTTCACAATCCTGTAACAAATAAATTAAAAAGGCTGTCTTATTTGTTGAAGTTGGCATTAACACAAATTAAGACTTGATCTATATAAATGTTGATTTACTAAAAAGCCTAATTCTTTTATGTTCAGATGAGTGGAATGAGCATGGGAGCAAGTACAGTGCCAATGCAAGGAATTGGTTTAATGCCACAGGTAAATTTTCTACACAAATAATTTTGGGTCAGGCTCTTTGTCTCCATATTGTTGCTGGAGTAGCAAGTTCTGTTATTGAATTAATCCCCTCCCTCATTGGTAATACTTTTTGTCTTTTGTTTTCTGATCCCCAAGATAAGATTTGGTAATATTGTACTTTGTCAGTATGGGAATAACAGATTACTTAAAAGTTCCAGATTCTCTAGAGTGGCTTATGGGGAATTTTTTGCTTTTTGGGGTTTTTCATTGAAGTAGAAAAGTAATTTCTAACAAAAATGGAATATCAATTTGTGAATATTTCAATCTGTTTATTTCTTTGAAGTTTAGTCATTTTATCGCATAACTGTCCTTTTTTTATTATCCTATTTCAATAACCTTTTTGTGTGAGTGGTCAAGTTTTGCAGTTTTTCTTAATTTCATTTTTCTTGAGAAATGAGAAAATATTGAATCTAATGACCTCTTTAAGCTACTCACGTTAGTTTTTTTTTTTTTTCAGTATTTTATTATTACTTTATATCATAATAGTTAAGTTTGTCACTTAACTTATTTTCTATTAATACAACTTAAAATAAATATTACAGAAACAAAAATTTAGATTTAAATTTTCAAAATATGCTATTAAAAACTGTCAACATTGCTTACTTCCATTTAATCCCAAGCTGTGATTTACATGCTATGGTAATTACAAGCTTCAGAAAATAGCTTTATTTGAATAACTAAGCAAATTAATTATAAAAGCCATCAACAAAACAATCACTTATAAAGTTAAAAAAAAGACCAGTTTAGAAATGAATAACAAAAGTTATTCTTAAAAAGTTACTTTATAAAGTTGAAGATGCAAATAAATCATCTTTGCTTAATTGGGCAAAACATAAAATATATGACAGTACATATGGATGATAAAATTGCATTTATTTGATGTCATAATCTTATGTAATATGTGCATACACACAAAACCAACTTTGAGATGCATCAACTATTTGAGAACACATCTTTAGCAGGTCATAAATGGGAGATGACCTAATATAATACTACAAAGCATGTTCTAAATTTTAACATTCAAGAGCATTAACATGGCAGCTTTCAATCTGAAACTGAAAATAGATATGCTATGTTTATAGCATTAGCTTGCCAACCACCATGTCTTCAATATAGCAGCTTCTTAAAAGTGGCCAAATGAACAGGAGGGGCAATAGGTGCTCTATACCAAGTTCACATTGTTTTTGATGGTCCTGGGAGTTGTGAGCAACAAGTGACATTCCACTTCTTTCCATTGGTTCTGTGTTACTACCCCCTTACATTGAGATGCTAAACACAGTGGTCAAGTCCTGGATTGAGGAGTTGCCATACATGTTCCAGCAGGACTATGCTTCCTCTCACATGCCTAAGGAATGACTGGCTGAGAATTTTCATGATCATGTCACTCTCAATATGTGGAACCTTACAGGATTGAGAAAGTTTGTTTCTTCAACACAAGCTCTCTTGATTTGAATCATCTCTGCTACTATATCTGAGGCATCATTGACAGCCCCAGAACATTAAGGACTTATTGAAAGCCACTATCATCAAAATGATGACCAGCATAAATTACCTCATCTGAGCATGTAGTCACTTCTGAGGCCACATCAAGTGGTTTTATTGAATAATCTTTTGTCTTTCTAACTTTTCAATTGTTACATTTTTTTAATATACTGAGTTCTTCTATTAAATATATTTGCTAAAACTTGTTCTCAATTACATGAAATGGCTTGTTTATATATTTAATTAATTTTCATGTTTTTGAGCAGACACATACACGCGTATATCTTAAATGACAAATATTGTTGTTAACCATGTTTGTTTAGTCACTTGATTCATCAAAACCAACAAATGGATAAAATTAAAACTGCACATTATTTTTTTTTTGTTGATGGTAGTGGAAAATGATTTTTAATCAATTTGCAAACTTCTTTTCAATTTATTATTAAATATTAAAATTTTATACATCTTCTGTATCTTTTGATTTAGAGCTTTAAAATTTGTGAATATACTCACTTCTTATAATGAAAAATATCTTTATGTGGTATTACTGTTGCTTTAATCATAACATCACTAGCATTTGCATGAGTAATTTTTCATCTACTGCTCCAAATATCCTAATGTTTCTTGTAAATTGCAAAGATGGAATTCTTTCTTGTGGATCTCATGTTTTCTCAAAGCACAGATTCTCACCTGTGTGCTAAAGATAAGTGTTTTTATGCATTTTCCTAAATATTTATTTCTAATTTCTGTATAAGATGCTACAAAATAATCTGTAGCAGCTAGTATTTCAAATAGAGAAAAATATCCAGTATAAAATTGTATTTAAAATTCATATGCGTTTGTACAGTTTTTGTTTCTTTAAAAATCTTTCCACTTTTAAAATAATAAAAACAAAATTTCAATTCTTTTAAAGCGAAATAATTTTTTCTTTCATAAAACTGTCCACTCAGTTCAAAAGATCCAGTTTAATGAAAAATAAATGTTGTATTTTTATGTCTGTGATCTTTTAATTCTTAAACATTTTATAATGAATACATGTTAATGCACTCCCTTTCTATTAGATTGTTCTGCTTTTTTTCTTTCACCTTTTTTTTCACTGATCCTTGCATTTTTTCTTTTTTTTTGTGTGTGTGTGTGTGTGTGTGCTCTTGTCCTACAGCAGGCAATGATGTTCCAGGCCAACATGATGTCTCCCCAGTCAGCAACAACCATGATGTCCCCTACTGGAATGCCATCTACCATGATACCCAATGCTGCACAGTCTATGCCTATGTCTAACCCTGGCATCCCATTCTCCACTCCTACTGCTGTTAACCCTATCCCTTCTATGACCATGCCTATGTCTATGGGACAGGTAAGTTAATCACTACCCACAGCAGCTTTATTACCTTACCTTACCTTTTTTACTCCTTAGTTGCATTTTTTCTGAGATTTGGGGAATTTACTTTTTGGCATATAATCCTGGCTGTTTATTGAAATGTAAGGTTAATTAATGTTTTTCTTGTTTTTCAAGGTGATATCTGGAAGTCCTTTTTGTAATCTTTTATTTACAATAATCCTTTATTTTATGATATCCAACTATTGGAAAAAAGAAAACTATATATGCAATATATGTAGTCACCTGGTTGACATAAATGACCCATCAGGGTTGACACACCATTAAACAAAATCTAACCAAACCATTATCTTATCCATTGTTTGCTAATGTTCTGTTTAAAAATGCAAAAAGTGTTCTTGAGATAAGTGACATTGTTTGAAGATTAATATCAGCTTGTTATTTGCTAGCTTTGTTTCAGTAGAAGGGCATAAGTATGCAGGCATCTACTCAGAAGACAAAATTTTTTTTTTTTTTTTGTTCCTATAATGTCCACTCAATACAGAGCTAAATGAATTATATTGAATGAGGTATATGATATGAATAAAAAAGGTGGTAGGAAGTGAAGATTATGAAGAAAATACACAACAATTGACTCTTGTCTTGAGGAGGTTAAGATTGTAACCATGTGAGATTCTGTTCAACAAAGTTGCAGTTCTGGGGGTGGGGCTGTCTGAATGGAACATTACAGGGTGGAGAAACAAACTTTGTCAAAACACCAAAAGAATAATAGAAAATAACAATTCTATTTTTATCTAAACTATTCATTAGCATAAGCTTAATTGATATTTTTCAAGTGGTCAATTCATGACTGAACAAATATTTAAGATTTGTCTCTTGGTTTTAAATTCAACTCAATCTTATAAAATGTAGGTTCTTTTTATGATTTTGTTTATTCTAAAATTTAGAATATTGGCCATTATTATTGAATATTTACTTATATTTGATCCATTAAACATGACACTGGGCATCAGTTATTGTCTTTTTAGATCAAATATATGAAAAATTACTTTATTCTCAACCACATGATTTTGTTGGTTTTTTTTAGGAGTAATGTCTTTTTGATGTAATAGGCATGTCAAAAATGAAAATTTGGAGAATTGTTTAAAAAGGCGGGAATATTTTTTTTGTGGTGGGTCAATACAAACTCCAACGTAAACTTGAAAATTGCACTTTTGTTTTGTGTATGCTAAAAATTGCGCAATCTCACACCCAAAACTAAAAAGTTGCATAGCTTTTAAAGCATATCTTGACTCTATTTCAGGAGAAAAAACTTGTTTAAAAAGAAAAGAAATTTGATTGTTCTATTTTTGGTGTCACATGATCAGGGTAAATGTTTCCAGGTTGACCAAGATGTGTCAGATGTTTCTCAGGTCATGTTGAAGGAAAGAGACATCTATTTTCACCACAGAGCATTGTTTGTGATGTTGGTTTTCCTGTCAAATATTGTTTGTAATGTCAGTTTACCTTCTATTGATTCCTCTTCATTGATCTGCGAATAATTAGAAATAACAATACAAACATAATTTTTACTATTAGATATAAAAAGTGTTATCAAAATACATTAGATAAATAATTTAAGAGTTGAAGGTGTGTGTACCTGAAATTCCTTTATGCAGTTATCAGTTTCTTCCTGACTCTTTTTGAAAATTTATTGACACCTCATCTCCTGTAACAATGCCCACATCAATTAGAGTTACAGTAGCCAAGGTTGCCATCACTTGGCAAGAAATGCCAATCCTAATACTTTGTTGGGCAAGTTTTTTTTTTTTTTTTTTTTTTGACAAATTCATTTTGACAAAATTCCAAAGAATGTCTGTAATCTTCAGCATCTTCTGATATAAACCCTTGGTTCCTGTTTTTCCACTTGATCATGTCAGTTCTTTGACAGGCATCTAAATAAATATAAGAAATACTCAATAATAAAAAAAATAAAATAAAAAAAACTTGCAATTTCTTATCTATTTTCTTAATTTGCTTGATTTTTTTTTCTTAATTTAATTTCTCTTATTTTTTAGTTTTAGTCTCTTAAATAAAAAAAAAAAAAAGCAAAAGTTTGAGTCATGAAAGAAATTAATTTATAATTACCTTATTTCCTCTGGGATAAGAAAAAGAAAAATGAAGTTGGTCACAATTGTTGGCATTATCACAGTTCACTAAAGCACATGATTTGAATGGGCATTGACAATGTAATATGTTGAAAAGTTTATCAAGGTAATTAAAAAAAGCCTTAATCAAAAGGTTTTTCATTCTCCTAATAGTTGTGACCACATCCCAATTAAACTTACTCTGTTTGAAAGTTGAATTATTGGTTGTATATGTTGTATATCTCGGCAACCAGACTTGTAAGTTTTTGAATTATATCTTGTCTGATACTGGGTTGTATGCTGTTCCTTAAGAGTAAAATTTGTTGTTGAACATCATGTAGTGTGGCTAAAATCAGAAATGGATATTGGTTTAGAAAATGATTCTTGGAATATTAGACAAAACAAAGGAAGCATTCCTTTTAGACATTGCCATTCTTTTTAAATAGTTCTCTTAATTGAGGAATAGGGTAAAATTATATAGTCATCAGCCAAAAGAAGACAAGCAAGGGAGGTATAGTATTGAGATGATGACTTTCAGTGTCTCCAGGTTAGAGGTTGACTAAAAGCAGCTGTATCATGTCTGCTTTTTATAACCAATACACCAACAGTAACAAACACTTGGTTTCAAATGACATCAAAGGCAAAAATAACTAGTTCACCAAGAAAAGTTGTTGTCTTTTTTTCTTTTTGTTTTTTTTTTGTATGAGCATATTTTTAAAGTTTACTAATTGTAGTTTAATGAGAATTTTTATTTGTTCTAAATATTATATGAATTACATGTTTCAAATAAGACAGGAAATTATAAAATTTTTTCATTTTAGTTGATATAGATGGGGTAAAACTTGTGATGAGTAATTTCAAAACAAAAGTGCAATTTTTGCCAAAGAAAATGATGATGACAGAAATTTTAAAGTTTACCTTGGGGTTTGTAGTGACCCACCACATGAAAAAAATCATTACTGCCTTTTCCAATTTCTGAAATTTTTAAGTTTTGATATGCTCTTTTTATATATATATATATATATATATTTGTTCACATTGTGGTTTGCCATGATTGATCTTAGGATTGATAGTAGATGGGTTTCCTGTTGCCTTCTCTATAGTGATCTTATTGAAACACCAACTTTAGTTAACTGGCTGTTGGCTTATTATCTTAACTAATGATTTGGTTATTATTGCATATTTCTACTCATTTGAATCTTTTTTCTTTTCTTTTTCTTCCCTTTAGACTCATTCTGCCAATACCTGGTCAGAATCTGGTGGCCTTAATATAAGTCTGGATACATTAAACCCAGGTACACGTTTTTCTAAATCGACTGCTCCTACAATCAACCAATTACAACAGCAACAAGGTCTCATACCAAAAGGTAGGAACATTCAACTTCAGTTTGCAATAATGCTTACAGTTCCTCTGTTGTCCTGTTTATTTTTGTTTGGTGACTTCTATTTTTCTTTTTTTATGTTTCAAAGAAATTATTTCCAGCCAATCAAATATTTTGATAAAAGCAAACATACTATGATATATCTGCTACTATTTAACTATTGTAGATATAGAAAAATCTTAAATTATTTCAATGTTTTATTTTCCATTTCATAATTTGAAAACTCTTAACTAGTTTGGTATTTGACCCTTCAAATTGATGGCTTATATTTTTTGTGAAGTAGTCAGTAATAGCAATCTGCACATATTACATATTACTTCTCCATTTTCATGCAATTGAATTTCCCTGCTGAAGACACTTTTGTTTTTACTTTACAATTTTAATCAATGTAAAAGTATTTCAAAATAATTATACATTGATTTCTTACAATCATTTTTCTTTGTTTGGAAGCAAAATATTCATTTCTTTTTTATTATCTTTAATAATGAATGATATTCAATTTCAAGCAGAATACGTGGTTTCCAAAGTGCATAATCACATGACTGCAAAATATTTAAATTATTTATTCTAACTTTCTGTACTATGTCCTTCCCCTTTCTATTTTAAGTATTAAATTTTATAGAATCTAATATTACATCAGTTTAACCTTTTTGAAGATTTCAAAATGTGAAGTGTCAATTAGTTTTCTATATGAATAAACTTAACTCAAAATGCAAAATATTTAAAGTAGATTATTATATAATTTTAATAAAATATTCCTTGATTATTAGAAATGTAATATTAACATATTAAAAAAAACAAAAAAAACTTTCAATCTGCTTGACTTGAGTAAAAATCCCATGGTGTCAAGTTTATACATGCATACATTTTACACACACACCCAAACACAAATAAAATGACAGAGAGAGAGACACACACCGACCACTTAATTAAGTATGCACAAACAGTTACTCTTTTATGCAAATTTGTAATCACCTAATGACATGGCAGCATTTAAACATAATCATGGTGACCTGTTGAATTTCATTTCATGTATTAGTATAGGAAAGAAAGCTAATTAAAGTGATTTAAGTTTTTTGGCCAGACAGCCAGGTGTAAGTATTTCAGAAGCTACTGATCTGCTATGATTTTCATGCACAACCATCTGGGTTTACAGACAATGATCAGAAAATTAACATTTCTGTGGGTGGAAATCCCTTGTTGATGAAAGGGGTTGGAAGACAATGGCTATACTGGTTCAAGCTGATAGAAAAGCAACAGTTACTCAAATAACCACTCCTTATAATGTAGAAGAGCATTTCTCAATGCACAACATATCAAACCTTGAAATCTATGCACTAAATCAGATGACCATGCCAGGTGCTACTCCTGTCAGAAGAATAAGAAACTGGGACTACAATTTGTTATGGATCACAAAAATTGGACAGTAGATTGGAGAAACCTTGTTTAATCTGGTGAGTCTTGACTTCTACTGAAACTATTTGAACTATTGGTATCAACAAAAGATTACTTAAATGCTACATCCTGCCTTAGTATTGTGGTGGACCATATACCTCAATTCATGACTACAGTGTACTTGTCCTTTTGTGACCACTTCATGCAGGACAATGCCCAAATCAGAAATAGTGGCAAACTGGTTCATGGAACACAGCAATGTTTTCTGTGTTAAAGTGGCTTTGACAGTCATTGAATCTCAATCTCATAGAGCACATTTGGGATGTGGTGGAAAGGCAGGCATTGAATCTTGGATGTGCACCTAAGAAACACAGAATTGTGGGCTGGCATAATAACAGCATGGACACAAATTTGGAAAGATTGCTTTCAGAACACTGTTGAATCCATGCCAAGAATTCTAGACAAAAGGAGTGTAAGTAACATGTTTGTGTTTTTTGCTCCATATGTGGCCTCTTTTGTAAATCACTAGCGAGTTTTAAATGCCACTTAAGACTATCGCACAAAATTTCATAACTGAATCAACTAAGCTGAGAGTCCATTTTATATATATATATATATATATATATATATATATAAATTTGTCACTTAGCTGATTGATGTTATATTCAGCTCCTCAACTCTGGACCTTTTTGTAAACATTCTGTCCACTTGTCAGAAAGTATCAAAATATATAACTCTAGTTTCAAACATGGAGTTGATGGAAATTGGTATCTCAAAATTACTTGTATTCATATTTTTAAAAAGAAATTCTTATACCAAATCATTTCAGATATAAAAACTTCTATACATTGTTGCTTTAGTCACCTTTTCCATGAAATGTCAATTAAAAAATAAATTACTCTTTTGGTTATTTTAAATGCTTGCTTTAATTGATTTCTTTTAATTTTCAATTTAAAGTGTCAATGAATGAATGTGTGTGTGTGTGTGTGTGTGTGTGTGTAATATATATATATATATATATATATATATATACACAAACACACACACAAAGTGCTGAAAAGTTTTTTGCTAGGCTCATTTCTCAGAATTAATATTTCGATGACCGAAATTCATTTGTTTTTTTTTTCTTTGAAGAATTGGATACTTGAGAAATGTGCCAAGAGTGTTGAGATTTAGGGTGAATATGTAGAATAGCATCCATATTCCAAGACTCTTATGTCTTGGTTGGGTTGAGAACTCAGCACATGCGTGTACGCACACACACTCTTATACATTTATATAATTTCAGATTAATGTAATTTATTTTAGCTAGTTTCTTATCTTCCTCTTCATTGGTTTTATAATAAAATATTAACTAGGGACTAAGTTTATAATTTTGATGTCCAAAAATGTTTTAAAAATAGATATAAATAGCAGATTTAAATTTTGTAATGTTTACTATTTGGAAGAGCAGTTGCAAACCCAACTAAAATATATCAGCTTCAGTTTTACATGTTTCAATACTTGATTTCCAATAAAAATATACTATCATTTTTTCTTTTTATTTTTCTTTAAGCATTTTCACCTTTTTATGAGAAAATTGATATAATTTAATAAAATCTTTTTATTTAAAAAGTAAAATAAAATAAAATCTTGCATAGAATGTCTCTTTTTATACATAACAAATCTACAAAAATATAATCTATAAGGGGGTGCTTAAAAGTTCTCTTACTGCCCAAGAAGAGACCAAAAATATATATTTTGGTTATTTGGTCAAATTTTGAAAAGTATACCAACAACTACCTCCAGTCCATTGTATTTTAGGAACTCAAAATAAAGCAAATGCAAAAGGCTTCACAATCTAACAACATCCACCTAAAACTAATATTACTAACAAATCTGCTTCCACTCACGATTAAAACATTAACATGCAAAATGATGTTTCACACATTTTGGTTTAAAGAGTTCTATTGAGATAGTTTTGATGGCGCAAATCCAAGGTGAATTTTTATTATTTCTTTTCTTTTCAAAGACCATGGACAATATGTAATCACTTGTGTGATTCAAATTAAACAATAGTACAAATTTCAAGATATTGTATCTTCTTATCCTTAAATCCAGCCAATTTTTTGGGGCCATTATTAAGTGGACAAATACCATATTGCTGTCTACATTTTATATATATATATATATATATATATATATATATATATATGGTACCCTATATATATATATATATATATATATATAGATAGCTACAGACAGATAAATAGATAGTTCATGTATGACAATAGAGGAATTTCATTTTAGCAAAGGTGTATGTTTTTTTTAATAAACTGTAATCTTTAAACTATCTTAAATCCCGAAAATGTCTGTGGATTGAGAAGTCAAAAGAAGATAAATTTGTTAGGTTTTTTTTTTTTTTATTGCTAAATGCCAAGCTATCATTCTTTGTCCTTGCCCATAGAAGGTGGAGTGATTATCTGATCATCAGATGGAATTAAAAAAAGCTGACATATGATGGCCTAGCACTATTTAATGTATTTGAAAACAGTGCGCGCACACACACATTATTTATATGTTTGTGTGTGTAATATGATTTCAATAAGTATTTAATTATCTAAGAATAATGTGAATAAACAAAGATATTAATAAAATTTCACCTCAGTAATACCAGTTGCCTAAAAGTATGTTTTTCAGTTACTTTCATCATCTTCTATCCATGTACATGCATTAATATCTCTGAAAGACTCTTGGTTGTATGCTGCTTTTTGGAATTTTGCAATTAAGCAATAGTTTCTCATTGTTTACTGTTGGGTAAATTCTGACAAATGCAGTTCATCCTATTATCATTTTTAGTTTTCTGTATCAAAGATATTTGTATACACAGCATCAATGTACAAACTGATGTTATAATCCTAAATTCAAAATTCCAATAATGTTATTTATTTTTTAACACTATATCTATTCAGGATATGACTCTCCATAGATTCTGTCTCTTCATCTGCAAATTGCCATGTTTTCTTGAGCAAGATAGCGGAGTGGTTTTCCCATTGCTTTCTTCAGTTTTGAATTCACTGTTGGCTTTCTCCTGGACTGACTGTTAACCATTGCCCAAGTGCCCAGTCTATACAGCTGTTAAAGCCATATAAGGAAGGAGACGAGATGGATTCATGTCTTTTTGAGCATAACAGATTAGGCAATTATTTAAATTCAGCTCACCTATGGCATTTACTGTACCAGTGACCTTTATGCTGACCACACATTCACCAATAATTATCAGACAAAAAAAAAACTTTCAAAACAGTTGAAAGAATATGTACATTTTAGTTAGAAAAACAAAATTAAACCCAACATGCTCAGAATGGAAGTTTTGATCTAAACTTAGAAATTCGCTAATTTAATTTCTAAAGTAAAATATGCATTTGCAATTTGGACTGCATTTTTATGGTTCAGTGTTTCTAACTTGCTGCATGTGGCAGTGGTAGCAGCCATTAACTGTAAACATTGTCTTCCGTTCTGTGCACAGGCGTAGTTATCTGGTACCCTGATTCTGCAACAGCAGTGGCAGCAGCGGCCGCAGCAGCTAATTCAGGATACCCTACCACCAG